GATATATAAACGAGCCGAGACAGAAACGAGTGATGGTACAATTTTGCAATGTTACTGCCATAACTATTATATAACTGCTCTTTGAAGCTGCACCTTTTCGCTAGACGACTCCTTTTATTTTCGTCTGTCTTCCTTTAGAACGTCCAAGTCTTTAGTTTCAATTTTCTTCAAGTTTCTGTAACATTGAGCGATGCTACAATTTGTTATCTTTTTTTTAAAGGAATCTTAATTAATTACGAATAACATATTACAGGGTTGAAGTTGACGTTACAAACGAAGAGACGAGCTAATGGAAGCGGAGATGACACCAAGAAGAGGACGAAGAAGGAAGATGGCAGCGCGGACGACGAGGAAGAGGACGAAGCGGGAAACAACAACGGCCGCAGTGGAGTAAGAAATCAACTCGCATACTCTTCTCGTTATAAATAATAAAGCGGTTGTGATTTTGGGTGGATTCGCGCTGTAAGTCGCGCTTCCGGTACCCATTCGCTTGAAATTGGATTAGATAAATATCATTCCATAGCATTAATTATGAAATACCAAAAACACCTCTAAAAGATTCACGATTACATTTTAGCTGACGCCGGAAGACGAGGAAAGGCGTCGGAGGAGACGAGAGAGGAACAAAATCGCAGCGACAAAGTGTCGTTTAAAGAAACGCGAGAAGACGGTGATCCTGGTGAAGGAGTCCGAGATCCTCGAGACGCAGAACCACGACCTTAAGTCGCAGATCCAGGAGCTGGAGACCCAGAGGCGTAGGCTGGTGGACATGCTGAGTTTCCACAGGCCGACGTGTCTGAAACAAAGCAACGACACGTCGTATCAGCAATATGCAGAACCGTTGCAGTTGCCGAGTTACCAGGAAAATTTTGTACAACCTCCGCCAGCGTTGAATCAACCTCAGAACTGTGTGACGGATTATCCGGTGAAGGTGGAGGAGTACGAGGGTGAATTTTACCGACAGGAGAGCCCTTACGTGCCGACCACGGATACCGGTTGCACGGTTTAATAGCTTTATCAATTGCAAGGAACGTCTGCCACGCGATTTTGTGGAGATACCTTTGAGGAGATCCGGTTTACCGGATGGAGAGAAGCTGAAGATGGTCCTCGGTGAACGAACGGTTGTATGCATTCCAAGAAGACACGAGAAAAATGATAACATCTAGGAGACACGCAGAGGATTTCGTTTTGTGAAAATGTGATCCTTTACCTGTTGGCTTCCTTTATCGTTTCCGGTAAACCGGGCTTCCTGGATCTCCCTCTTTTTTTATTAATCGCAAGTCTTATAGCTCGTAAGGTCATTATTATAGCGCTCCTGTTCTCTCTTTGTCCTTATTCTTCTTCTTTCTTTTTTTAACACGATCCTTTATACTCGAAACGTTCGTCGTTGAACGCCTGAAGACATTCCTTGAAAGTAACCCTCTTGAAAATAAGTAACCAATTCCTTGAACATAAGTACTGTGACATTCTAAGGTATAATTAATGTAATTGATAAATGTAAGGTACGGTGAATCATTTTTGCGATGCTCGGGATGTTGGGAATTATATTCTTGTAATTGGTACAATCATCGGTCGATAATGAAGAGCATCGCAAAGATGTTTCGTTTATTTTAAGCGAGAATCGGGCGGGTATTTTTCAAATTGCAGACTGCGTTAATGCTGTTAATTATTTTTCACACGCGACCGCTTCTCGATTCACCAGTGAGAAACCAAGTATAACTCAGCGTAAGTCTTCTGATATTGATCACGATTATTTACGTGTATTGTGACGCGCGATTATGAAACCGCGTTCAAAGGATACTTATAATTATACGAATAATCGAACGATATTTAATATTATAAATGTGCATATTTTATACGTATGTTATGTATTTACACGCGCAGACACGCACATACAGACACACAAGACACGGGTCATTAACAGTTAATGAAGACGTTACAAGTACATGACGATTAATGACAAGAACCTAACGACATACCTCAATTTTGTGGGTAGTTACCCTCCCTCGGTGCGTTTGTAAAGAAAGATAATTTTCAAATTGAATTTTTATTATTCTGATCATGTAATTTGAACAATTTTTATATATTTGATATGCCAAAGAATCGTCAGAACCATTAGTCGATCAATTCAAATTACAGTTTTATATCAATCAAAAAGAATTTAGCAAACGCACCTTGGGCTACGCTTAAGCGTTTTTTGCAATTTACGGAAGCTAGTTTAATACTTAGCCAAACGCGATACAATTATAATAGCGACACGCCTTCAAGTCCATGGAATAAAAAAAAAAAAAGTGCTTTTCTTCATCTTCGGAATGTTACCGCCAGTTGATCTAACGAAGAAGAAGATTTTTCTTACACTTCCTGTCACACGAAGTGAGACAAAGTCTTCCTCTTATTCTTCACGAGATTAATTATCGTCTACGAACATTAATAGGGATGTTTTTTAAAATTCGTAAGACGAATGTCAACACGTAGCAATTACACACGTGTGGTGCTATATATATTATATATATATTTGCTTTTTATATAAATTTTATTAAGTTGCCTGAAGAGAGTATTTAAATAGTTTAATACCCATGTTAAGCGTATATATATATATATTATCGATGTCTATTTACTAATGCAAAGTTCTGAAAGTATCCAGACATATCGAGAGTTTATATTTATATACGAATCTTTTTCTATTGTTGACATATTGAGAGAAAACATCCGAATGCGGTAAAATTATTACTAATATTATCGACGTACTAAACAATCTTTAAGTATTGGATTTATCACACGCAGTTATATTAAGCAATCACTGTTTGATCTTTCTTTTTCTATGGATGATTTGCAGACTGTTTGAAAGTATTGTATTTTTTTTAAATTGCGATCATGTTTCGAAAATCACATATTTGTTTAAAATTATGAACAAAATTGTTTCTTTTCTTTTAAATGTCGAGTGTAGTTTGATATAATTACGTTTGCTATCCAATATATACTGCCATTATTAAAATCCCAGATACAGTCATTTATGGTATCTGACTTCTAGGTTCATTATCTTGTTAGTAAAATGTATTAAAAAGTCTTTCTAGAGAATAAGTGCAAAATAACTTTAATAACAGCAAACAGTATATAAGATTTTATTTGTTGTAACAAAATCGTACTATTGTCTTTAATTACTGAGTACCTGGCCATGGATTTCCATGCGACAGCTATTTTTCCCTAGGAGAAATGCATTGAATATTAAAACTAGAGAAATGGCTGACAAAATTTTATCATTGTACCCTAAGGGAAAATTTTATTCTTTAAATAAAAGTGCCTTCAATACTAATATTTATATCGCAGTTCACCAGAGTCCATAACTGCGACGCGCAGGTTGGAAGATGGTGGGGGAACGCAGCGAGCTCTCTGCTAATCGCTTTCCACTTCGTTTGGGAGTATGGCCAATCAGGGCGAAGTTGCGCACTAGAGATGCGCGAAGAACGAAAACTTGGCTTTTCGCAGTTATGGACTCTGGTGAACTGCGGTATACGTGTTGTTCTTGATTAAAAATAATGAAGATTATAATATAAAAAAGACATAAAAAATAAGTATTAGACACACATTTTATTATAAAATTCATTATTTATATTATGCACACACATTCACATACCTCAATCACAATCAATTCAAAATAAAATACATAATTTTATCTTATAAATAAAGATGCATTGATAAAGAACAAGATGAATAACCTTATTAAATTTCAATTGTACCTATATAACATGATCTTATGAACCCCTGAAAAAATACAAACAGTTACATAAATAAAAATATTCCAAAGGAAAAGATATCCACAAAGATTCAGTCTACTTACACAATGATGTTATTAATTGGAATATGAATTAATTTAACAAAGAATCCTATGAAACCCATTATACAGAAACCAATAGCTGTGGCAATGGCAATTTTCTGAAATTCTAAGCAACACACGTAATGAGTTAAGGATGTGAAATTTACATGCTACGTAAATTCATTCAAATGTTACCTTTCCTGTCAGGTTTTGTACATCTTTTGATAAGACGAATACTGTCTTTTGCGAACTGACGTCCAGGTTCTGTTAGCTTTTTCACTTGGTCCATTGTGCTCGTGAAACTGAAAATAAAACGTCCTTACAATGAATTTGATGGTAATCCAGACGTATCTATAACGTTTCCTAAAATTAGATCGTTTGAATTGAATCTATGTCAAAAATTTTACACGGGCAGTGCGCAAAATTACATATGTTTTTATACTTAAAATATCGTATACAAATTATATGTTTCATATCCAATAACCTAGATATGTATTTAATTTCTAACTCGTTGAGAACAGAATGTAAGTTGTAGGTTATAACAAATGTTAATTATTTCATTAATACTGCTTTTTCTAATTACACTGATGTAAATTGGAGAGATAATACACAAATGCACGATACTTACGTTCCTTACGATCGGAGAACGTTTTACAAAGTGTTGTTTGACGTACGAAAAACTGCGCTCGTCAGAAGTTGAAGGCGCTACGTGGACACTGTGCTGTAAATACGTCACTTCCTACTACTGATGTTGGAATCGGATCATAGCAGCGCGAATTCCAAGCCATTTAAACGAAGAAAAGAAAAGAAACTTTATATAAATTATTTACTTCAATATACATGTAAATCCAACTCGAAGTTTTATACAACATTTGTAATTCTACAATAAACTAATAAAAGAGTTGTATACGAGTTCATTACTCAAGCTACTCATAAAGAAAGTTTAAAGCGTGTAATAAAATCATTGAATAGCATTTTCTTTTCAATTACAATGTGTGGTATATAAGTGTATTAGTTTATATAATGTTTTTTTAAATTAATAAATAAACCGATAGGGAATGCAATGGTAGAAACCTTATAATCAAAGAGTTCCTAGAGTATCTACTTTTTCCAGCATGACGTTAATAATTGGCGGATAGAATTAGTTACCAAGAACTGGTGCATATATTTTTATAACAATAATTTATAACATTTCATTTATGTTTGTTGAATTAATCTCTTGAAAGTCTTTAATAATACGTTGTATATCGGCCTTAATATTTTATCAGTTTTATCAGTTACCTTGACATTTGATTAGTCTGTCACCTGTCATCCATTTCTACTTGGTGTATGTATGTACAAAATGTACTTTGACCGAAAGTAGTAAATATGAATTAGGAAACATACAGTTAGGTTAAAGTTATTAAGTATTCAGTTGTAATAAGGTGAAATTTGTCAATTGTCGTATTAAGACAACATGGGTAATAGATCTAGCTTACTTTTGCGCGAAGAAGAAATAGCGCAAATCCAGGAAGCCACTGGATGTAAGTTTTATTGAAGTATTATTTCGAAATAGTACTTGTAGTTACTATGGTGAAAGATCGATTTCTATTTTAATGAAAAACTATGATTATAAATGCTTCTTTAATATACATGTGGTAATTAAATTAATATTTTAATGGAATTACAGTTACTCCAAATCAAATTGAACGCTTATACAGTCGTTTTACAAGTCTCGATCGCGGAGATTGTGGAACACTGAGTAGAGAAGACTTTCTCCGAATTCCAGAATTGGCAATTAATCCTCTGGGTGATAGAATTGTAAATGCTTTCTTTGAAGAAAGCGGTAATGATAGGGTGAATTTTCTACAATTTATGCAAGTGCTGGCTCACTTTAGACCAATTAAGAAAAATAGCCCAAATAGGCTAAATTCTAGGCAAGAGAAACTAAAATGTAAGTTAATAGTACTGTAATATTAGCATTTAATTCCAAATTGTATTGTAAAATGATGTATCATATGTTTACTATTTTTAGTTGCTTTCAAAATGTATGATTTGGATAACGATGATTTGATATCAAAAGACGAGCTTCTAGCTATTTTACACATGATGGTTGGGGCAAATATTAGGTGAGGGAATTATCTATCATAAATTAAAGTGACTCATGATGTGTAGGTAAACTATAATTGTACATATTTATTTTAGTGAAGAACAGTTAACTAGTATTGCAGAACGGACCATAATGGAAGCTGATGAGAATGGTGATGGAATGATATCATTTGATGAATTTTGCAAAACTCTGGAAAGAACAGATGTTGAGCAAAAAATGTCTATAAGGTTTCTCAGCTAATTTATTTGATTGTTTCCTTTAATAATGCACAATTTGCTGATGAGTTGAATGTATTAAACCTAATTGTAATTGATTGTATTAAACGTAATAATTAATTTTTTCACAGATAATCTGATTTATTTTACATAGGACGGAAAATCGAAACGTTTATCAATGTATTTGAAAGGTGAATCATTGAATTTTATTCCTCTTAAAAATCTTACGAAAATCATCAATAATTTTAATTATTAAAAAACTTGTACACTTATATACCACTTCTATGTTTAATAATGTATAAATTTCATAGAATTACAGATTTTGACAACCTACTCTTTACAATGTCTAATTCGTTACACGACTTATTACACTGTTTACAATCTTCGAAAAAAAGTGACGAGGTCTACTTATAATACCGTTGAAAAATAAGTTATACTACCGATGACGCACTTTAAAAAATTGGAATACATCTAAAATATGTATTACGTTGTTAACATGTATTTTGTTTTGTACACGAATTATACTTGGACTTCGAAAAAATAATTAAGGAATTATGTTTAATTAATTATATATTTTCATTATTATAGCGTAATTATTTTTATATATATGTATAAATTCGCGCTGTATCTATTTTATCCTTGTACTTGCAACTAACTCCTCATCCTTTAGTACTAAATTTTGCATATACAAAACGATGAGGATTGCAATTTAGGCTGTGGACGATACAGCCAATTTCTTCAAATGCTCCATGAATACTTGTAGACTGACATCATCAGTTAAGACAGGCGCTCCGCTCTCCTAAATTGAAGCAGGTATTAATTAGATACTATAATCGATAATCGAAATGAAACAAAGACATAAGCTGAGAAATTTTATCCCAAAACCGGCGAAAGACAAAAGAGTTAACCATAGTCTGTAAAAGCATATTTTATGAATAAAAAAATAAAAAAAAATTGCCTCGATGCCAACCACCAGTGAATTGTGACGATAGAATCGTACAAAAATTGTTAAAACGTGTAGAGTAATTTGACGCTTGCATGGTAATAACGTGAAGGTGTGTTAAATAATATAAGATATAGATTAAGATGTCCCAATACCTATATTCCTGTAAATTTGCCGAGTAACAGTCAATATCTGTTAGATATTTTAATACTGTTATCAGATACACTAATAAATATTTTACTGTAATGTTAGATATCAACTGTAACTTTACCACATTACCCCAAATATTTAAATTATTAAAGCAATGAAAGCGTACATATAAAAAAAAATTATCAAATGAATGGAAAACACACCCCACTGGGTATCGGCATCCCCTGGTTGCAGGTTCACGGGTGACATAAAAAAATATTAGTTACATATGATTGATTTGTAATTGATATTTATATGTCGTCGGAAATGAATATTAAATAAAGTTCGATATAAAAGGACTTGAATTGTCGATAATTATGAATAGTTATATATGAAATGTACCTTATTAAAGAACGATAACTAAAGAAAAATTTACTTACCGCTCCATAGGCATACATATTATTATGAGTTTGACTTGGATTCACTTTACTTAGCAAAAACCTCGCTTGTGAACCACCTTGTTCGGTATCGATGTACCGAGGTGCAGGAAACCTTCCAGCCAGTATTTCAGCAGCATCGTCAACGGGTGCTGCCAATAACTGCCGGAAGTTCTCATATTCGGGTAAATCCTGATACTTCAATTGACGCCACTGCGCAATTGTCTGTAATCCATAAACAAACGTTGCTATCATATCATCTATTATTTATATAATGATAACAAAATTACCTCTCCGTGGAATATGAGTATTTGGAAGAAAGTATCCATCAATAAAATTCTGTCAGGCTGAATAGACGAGGTATCTAATAAAACTGGTTCTGGTGGACCACTGAATCCATAACTATACAAGATTGGTTGTACCATTATCAATGAATTTGTTAAATCTTCACGCATGAGCATGTGTCTGTAAATGAACAATTTGATTAACAATAACATATACCTCGAATTGCTATAGAATAGCTTACCTATAAAAACTAGTTTCATCAGGAGAATTATTGAATACTTGAAGAAATTGCGATCTACGCAAATGATACATAAATTGTGGATATAATGAAAAGTTCTCGGCAAGTCTAAAACTGTTTGGATCGTCCTTTGCATACTCTCCAAACTTTTGACACTGTAACGAATGTATATTAAGTTATTAGCGTCAGCTCTATTATATAAATCATGGATTTAATTACGAATTCTGACCAGTCTAATGAGCATACGATCAACCCATCTTAAAACATCTGGACCATCATCGCCTTCCGCTTTAAACACTGCTAGACGTGACATAAGAACAGCAGCTGCTTCCTGGTCAAACCCAGCGCTTATATGATGCAACGACGCCGATGCGTCTGCCCAACTATAATTAGAAATACCATAAGTTTCAAGTTCAATAATAATGTTCATTAATTTGAATACAGCAGTTGCATACTTTCTTGCAATTGTAGTAACCCTAATTCTTCTCTGACCACTACTATGTTGATACTGTGTGATAAACTGAATGCAGCCCCTTCCACCTTGTGGAATCGGCGCGGTGTGTTGATTCACGACTTCGAAGAACAACGCCGTAGTCGTGGACGGCGTGAGAGAACAGAATTTCCATTGGCAAGTGCCACCTAATCCTACTTCCTGTTCTCCAACACTTGATCCTTTCACTCCCAGAGAGACGCAAGGACCAATCGCCCCGGAAACTTTAATTTCTCGGGACGTCTTAACTTCCAACGTTGCGTTAAATGCCATTTTTAAATCACCCTTATTGTCTTTAGCAAATACTCGCTGGAACGTTTGTTTAAATAATGAGGAATTGAAGGAATCTCCCATGACCATGTGACCACCGGTTGAATTGCAACATTGCCTCATTTCTAGCAAACCAGTTTGATCAAGAGCACACGAATAAATATCTATTATGTGTCCATTCGTTGCAGCTCTTGATGCGAGAGAATCATAGTGTTTAGTTGCTTTTTTCATATGCTTGGCATTATCTTTTTGGATGTCGTGATGTGACCTGATTGGTTGCCTCAAATCATCTGTTACAACCTGACCAGGCCCTTGAGAACAAGGTCCACCGACGAACAGCATTATCCTAGAAATATTAGAATTCTTTTAAAGTGCTCAAACTTAATTATGATACTGTGATCTATGACTGATGATACCTAGCTCCTGTATTAGCATAACTAGCTTCTAATAGACCAGTAGCAACAGCCAGCGCTACACCAGTAGATCGCAACGGACGTTTCCCTGGACCTACAGGCCAAGGATCACATTGCAGTTCACCTAGAAGATCTGTTAGACTCATATCGCACTTATGGACCGGCTGTAAGAATCTATTAGCGGGCGGTAGCGGTTGTCCACCGGGTCCTCTTTGTTGATTCGGGTTTTGTCCAGGCATAGGTCGACCAATACCTAACATATCCTGGACTTGTTTCGGTTGCAAGTCCTTGGTACCTCGGAAAACATAACTCGTACTGCATCCTTCACAACCCAATTCATGAACATGAACCATTCTCCCAAATGTAATAAGGCCAATTAGCGCATTAGGTGGAAGCAGGGAGAGTGACATTTGTAATGAATCTTTAAGAGAACCCAATTCTTCTTCATCCAGACATGTATCCACAACCAGTAAAAAAATTGGTGGCAAACATTGTGCCCTCTGCATAAAAATAACAGGAATTAAAACAGAGAAAATTGTTAGAAACATTTTACATTAGACTATGGGTATTCACCATTATAGTATATTCAATTGTTGAGAACATTGGGATTAGTTCAGCTGGTTGATGTTGTTCCGAGATGGCTGCATATTGTGGAGGAAACTGAAAATGTTAATTAAAGTGTCAGTTTACTGGATTAAAATCAACAAGATTAGATTTGTAATCAAAGCAGCTTGAGCCTTACAGGATTTCTCTGAAAGCAAAGATTGCACACCCATAGCTTAGCACGGTAATCAACTTGACACAATGGATTCAAAATTGCTCTGCAAGTAGATCTTGTGCAGAGAACTGGATCATACTGTATCGGTGGAAGATCTGGTCTTTCTTTGATCGGTTGGTAAAGAGTTCCTAGTGGTACTACAAGTCTTGTGGCATCAATTCGGGATGAGGGCCAAACATTCCAAGTAAAACGTACTCCATCGCGGTCTTCATTTTGCTGAATGAACTCCTCATAAGTAGTCATGTTGCTGCAATCCCAAAGAATGATACGATGTTAAGATTGAATCATATGTAATTGAAATATACAATTTTTAAATATGTGACAAGTATGTAGGCATGACTGAGGATATTAGGTTAAACTTACTTACGCAAATTAACGTATGATTGTTGTAAACTCTCGTTAACGAGTTGAAAATGTTTTTGAGCAAACTTCGGTATCAAGTTCTCATAATTACAGCATTGTTTTATAATTTAATTAAAGGGACTAAATTTCACCGTACGAACACGACTTGTGCCGTCATTGAGGCCACGTCACTTGGAACAGTGACTACAGATACAGAAAGACTGGACATGACTTTGTTCTCGGGGGGTCATAATTTTATGGGGTTCCCGAACACCCCCAGGTGAAGTTAGATCTGCATGTACAGAGCACAGTCGGTATAATATCTTGTCTGTTTTACCAGTCCCTCTTTTACCACACTCGCACTGATAATTGAAAAAATATAATTTCGATTCTCCTAGGAAGAGCAAGAAGGTACATAAAGAGGTCAGGAGGTATATGCATATGCGAGGACAAATGATGAAAAATATGCTACGTTTTGTAACATTTAATCATTGAAAATTATGTTACTTCTTTTTCTAAGTCAGTTTTATTATTAATATCGTCAAAATTAAGATGGTAAGATTTTCTGCTTTCCTTGTAATTGTTTTCAAGCGTCGAGGCTGAACTTCGAATTCCGCGTTGGTAAAACAGTCAACGTTTCATCGAAAATTAGGCCGAACAGAAACTGATTTAAGCGCCATCTCAATTATGGCATGCTATGCTACGTCACCTTTCGCATACACCTAAATGACACGTGTATGCTACGATAGCTATATGTATAAGTACATAATTAAACAATACTGACCATGCATTCATTATTATTAATTTTCTTTCCGTAAAATTGTAGTTGCAATGTGATACACTTCAGAATCTGAAAGGTATAGTTCCAGAAAAATATATAACAGAGATTAAACAGAAAAAAAAAGCATAAATTTCGCAGCCATTTCGCTCGTATTATTTGCTGCATAATTAATAAATGTACCATAGAAATAATGATAGTTATTAATTAGTCATCAAATAATAACGATTGCCCAGGTGTCACCACGAGGAGGTTGCTGCGGTTTGGAGACCCGTCCTACCTCATCCCATCCACCCTCCATTTATGCAATTCAATAATGAATTTCATTCAATAATGAATTCCTCTCGAAAATTGTTATAAGAAAAATATTTGTTAGTCAACGTAGCGAATTTCTATCAAATGAAAAGCAGAAATTATGAGATCTGGCGCCTGACCAGAGTCATGGATAAAGTCATGGCCTTTCCAATGTACAACGTCTCTGCTTGAAATATCTTCGCCAGGGTTGATTTCTTTCTACCATTGCGCATCAAACAACTTCGTTCTTTGTAAATTCCATATTTTGCGATTTTCTTTTTATTTTATTTTTAACCGACTTCGAAAAGAAGGAGGTAATTAGTCAAAAAACATACAAGTTCCTTTTTCAGGAACTATAAAATTACTATAGTTATACGTTGTATATGGTAATATTGCAATCCCGAAAATACTTTTCTGAATTTAAACTAGTTTCCCAATTAAAAAATATATAAATCTTTTTATAGTAGCTCTTAGCTTGATATCGCTTTCTAAAAGTTATCTTTAGAAAACGATATCAATTACCAGGTCACACCACGTGGAGGTGGCTACGTTAGTGACCCACCCTAAAATCATAAGAACGTGAAACCATTCAAAACAAACATAAAATAAAAATTTAAGCAATACAATCTTGAAATAGAAAATAAAATTAACATCCTAATATCAGAAACAATTGAGAAAATAATAATAATTTAACAATAAAATGCTGTAACGGAAAACATAATTATTAGGATTAGATATACAATAACGTGAAACCATTCAAAACAGACAACATAAAATAAAAATTTAAACCAT